CTTCCAACCTAAAGGATTCTATGATAGATCTTAGCAAATTGTGTTTTGAGGAGCAGTGAAAGAGAAGGAAAATTACTCCTTTTATGTTTGAGCAGTACAGACTACTACAACTTCCAATGACATAGATCTAGGTTTTTCATTCTCCTCAAAGTGACCTCCTGCAGCTTACATAGGTCCCATCTGCTAACAGCAAACCATGACAACTGAAGGGATGGACACCCCTCACAGTATTCACTATCCTCGTTGGTTCTACTAAAATTTTAGACCTATGCCATAGTCTACAAAAGAAGTAATTTTTCTATCTCCAGAGCCTTTCCAGCATGTTGTCATATTCTTAGGAAGTAGGTTGGAATCCTGCAGAGTGTTTTTCCAGGTGATGCTGTCTCTGAACCAGTGAGCTGCATCGTTCAGTGGTTTTAGGAAATAGTAATAAAAATAGCTAGGGAGGAGAGCGCTTACATTTCCCTAGAGTTCCTACAGAAGTAGAAACTTTGAAATCCAAACTGAAAATCTGCTCATCCCATGCCTCACGCATTCTCCAGTTTCTGCTATAGATTCCTTAGAGCTTATAAAGGAAAGCTGAATTCTTTTTGACTCATGGAAAGTATATTAGAAGCTAAAAGCAAAATACTCAAAATGAGAGAAAAGAGAGAAAATCTCTTTTCGTTCCTCTTTCCCCAAATATATATATATCATTTGAGAGCATTCTTTGCATTTTTACCTTCTTAGTGTTGCAACTTTTACCATTTTTTTTTCCAATTTCAGGGTCTTTTGGATCTTCTGGGATCTCCCTCATTAGGGGAAAGTTTTCAGGGAGAACTACAGTACTCTGCATCACTTACTGTTAAAGCCTCTCTTGTCAGAAGTGTTTGTCCCTAAGACCCAGAATTTCAAGTAACAGAAGTTTGTCTGGATGAGTCAGAGGTTAATTCAGTGTATATACATATATGCATATATAGTTAGTGAAGATCAGCTCTGCAAAAACACAACAGAAGCTAAACTGATGATATTATTCCTTTGCTGAAGACTTTCTTGTCCATCCTTTTTTGGAATAACATTTGGTTTAGTTCTCAGTTATTCCAGTTTCAGGCAAAATTTGGTATTCTTTCACTTCAGCTAAAATAAAAGTAAGAAATTAAGTAACATATAGCTAAAGTTATATCAAAGGCTAAAGAACAGTTACTGAGGATGGCTGAAAAACTGAAGGTTCCCCTATACAGGTAGAGCAGAGGATTGTGGAGTCAAGGAGAAAAACAGCAGCCGCACTCATGTCAACATGTTCCTACTGCTAATTCGTAAAGGTATTTATAGGAGTGTGAAGTCAGTTTGAAACTCATTTTGTGCTTTTAGATTATTGTTGTATATTAGGAGTGTATTTTGAGATGGGGGAAGATCTAGGAAAGGCAATGATGAAAAAGGGAGGGATCCAAAGTGGAAATGGCTTTGCACTTCAGGTGATCTCGACGGGAGAGCGATAAAGCTGATTCTGATGGTGTCATTGGGGCTGGGCAGCAAGAGGCAGGATGGAGACAAGACTTTCTTAGAGAGAGAGGGAAAACCAATGTAGTCAACTGCTCTATTTGGCTTCTTTTATCCTGAGTCTGCCAGGGGCTTAAAACAAAGTGCAAACTGAGGTCAGAAGATGTATGTCAGCTCTCAGGACCAGGGCATGACTTTAAGTAAGCCACAGAGGCCCACATGTAGTTAAAGTATGTGATTAAGCCTTTGGAAATACATTTGCCATGCTGAACATCTCAGATTCCATGCTCCAGCCTGAACTTCTTACTCATTTTCTTGTGTGTTTCCATGGCTTATTCATTTAAAACAGGTTTTTTCACAGCAGGAACTGTTCCTTGATACATTTCCATAGCACCTAACTCAGTAGGGCATCTGTGTTAATTGCAGCCCTGTCCTTCTTACCACATCAGCTGGTCAGTGCAGGATTCCTCCAGCTGCTACTTCCTGATGAAGTTAAGATCAGGTGAGAATGAGCTGTAGTTCTAGTGCATCTGATTTCAGTCTGTTTGCTTTTTTCTTTCCTTAAGCCGGGCATTTGCAAAGTGCATGGGAATTTAGTTCTGGATATTTTCCATAGCATATTTAATTTTTGTTTAATGTTTGTTTTGAAGGGGGGGGGAGGATATGAGCTAATAGGTGTGGAGAATGAAGAACTGTTACCTTGCATGGAGATCTGAGCTAATCTGATGGTGCTTGGCATGGGAGTAAATGCCACGAAAAAAGAATTAATCAGATTTAATGGAAAATGCATGTAGTTCTGAATAATACAAGTCAAAAATCTGATAAGTAAAAAAGGCAAAAAATAGTAGGGAGGACGCTTTACCCATTTTTGTACAAAGAGATTAATTACTCCTCTAAGAATCTAGTTTAGAGGTGCAAAATTTACTTTTCCTTGAATTGTGGCTCTGGCATGGTCCAGCAGGGCTTTGTTCTGCCCGTGAGATGAAGGCAGGTGTGTTGCAAGTGCAGCCTCTGTGTCCTGGGTGCCACAAATGGACAAAATTATTTTTTAATTCTCTGAAATAAATAGACATGAAGGTGAACTAAGCACAGAAATTAACATACAATAAGTTACTTTCCATTCATTTGAGGCATATTTTGTAAGTAGAGCTATTTATGGCTTTTTTTGACTGAGAGCAGAGATTGTAATAATCTAACAATAATTACCTTGTGGGAAAAACAGGAACAAATTAATCTGAATTCTTTGGTGTTTGATCCTTATGCAACAGATAGCAGAATGATAAAACTGTTATGAAACAACATTGCAGTAGTATGTCAAGCTGTTTTTTTTATTTCACTGCAGATAACTGTAGGGGAAAATATTTGAAGCTAGTTGACATGCATTATGATACACCATTTAGTCACGGAGATGTAAGCTAGGATCAAAGCTTGTTTAGAAAATTGAGGTCCTTGGGTACGAGAAGAAAAGGGGTTTCTGGCATAAAAATAATATCAGAATTCTTCTGGGTTCCTGAGACTGAGTCTAAGGTTGTTGTTGCAGGGTCCAGCCCTCCATTGTGTTGCAAGGCATGTGCTGAAGTCTGTATGTCTGAAGAATGGGTTATAATTCTTAGCCTTTTCTTGGTCCCTGTCATATGAGGTCAACCTATCATTAGAAAGTTAGACTTGTGCTGTCGGTAAGGTACTTAGACCTCATTTTATAGTTAGCTACTCAGTTTGGTACATGGAAAGAGCTTTAGCAAAACAAGATCAAAGTTAGACTTTTATTTTGTCTTTGTTACTACCCTGAATTACATTTAGTAGGGTTTTGGCTTTTCAGATGTTAGAGTCACTCTGCTTTTAGAAAAGCTGCTCTCTCCATTGCCCACTTGTTTTCTCTGTAGAGGAGCAAAATGCAGTCAATACTGGGGGGCAGGAGTTGTCTTTCTGCAATCCTGGCAATGCTGGGGTGGTTTGGAGAGATCGCAGATGGCTTGTGCTCAGAAGAGTCCTTCCCTCCCTGCTCAAAATTTTGCAGTCCTGTTGTGGACATTCAACCTTAGTTATCTAGGATAAATGATTCAGGCAATTCTCTTTCACATTGCACCGTAGTCGATTGCTGCTTCCAAAATCCAAGTTAGAGCTGACACGGGAGCGTGGCTCCTGTATTATTATTATTCTTTCATTTTTTCAATTTCTCATTTTGGCATTCTCTGCTATTTTCCTCCTCCTACAAGGCTTTTGCCTGTTAGGTTTACTTTGTTAAGCATTTCTCTTTTCGTTTCTGGGTGTTTTTTTCTTTCCTTTCTATTCATAGCTCTAGATATTTTCAGATTTAACTTGAGATTCCCTGTAGGTTTACATGTTCTTTGTTCACCAGACTATGGAGTAACATGGCTAACTTTCAAAATCAAAATATTGTGGAACATGCTGATTTTGCAGTACTTCCCCCAAACAGTATTCGTCTTTTCCCCCTAACACTGGTGTGTCCAAGCATGCCACCTTCTGTTTTCTGCTCTCAGAACTCAACACTTGCAGAAAACATTGGCAAAATGTTCTGTGCTTAGGAAGCCAGTTGGGACTTCCCTTCTCGTGTAACTCTTCAGGTTAAAATTGGACTCCTTCTTAGAAGTTTCAGAAGGTCTTTTTCTAATTTCAAACAGCCAGGTGATCTGTTTGGGAAGTAAAAATTCTGAGGGAAAGAAAAAGAAAAAGGGCCCAACCCAATAACAGAATCTTAATTTCATAAAACTCTAAGTGATGTTCTTAAGGCAGATCTGAAACTGTTAAGCTGCAGTGCTCTAGTGAATTGAGGTGTTGGACTGTAATGCGTACCAGCAGCCAAAGGCAACGTGACATATTAAGGGCATTGCTGTCTTTCAGCTTTACATTGAAGAAGGATGAGTGTAACACCTTCTTGAAGAGCCTCAGCAGCCAGATCCAGACTTAACTGTAGTCAGTGGAAGGTTTTTTTCCTTTCTTGGGAAAGCCCTGCACCACCAGGTGTCTTAAACGCTGTTGTGTAAGTTCTCCCCCCTTATGAAGGAGGAGCCACCCAAAAAACTGGGATCCTCCAGCTCAGTTTTAAAACCTCAGTGGTAAATAATTCACATGGTATGAAGCTGTCGGGAGAAGGACTACTACTTCTTGGCATTCTGTGTTGTTTAAAATTGCCCGTTCTCGTTGTGCTTTATCACAGGATTGATTATCTAATTGGTTATAGGACAATCACTTAAACATATGAACTTGTTTAATCCTTCCCCAACATATTAAATTGCTAGGCAATTAACAGGATATGAGGCTTTCCATAATCTTCATGATGCCTACATATGCATAAGGATTAGTGTCTTTGTGTCTGAGATCATGAAAGAAAGAAAGAAACCTTCACGTTGCTGAATTTTGTGTAGTTTTATTTTTCAAGCTGTTTCATGTTCTTTTCTTTCCTTTTCTAGGTATTACATAGAAATGGCTTTATGGATCTGGAAACTGAGCATCTGGAGCTGTTTTTGCATCACCTTATCCAGAAATGAGGAACTGAAATATTTTCAGAGTGCTACAGAGCTGAATCATCTAACAGTGGATAATGACACTGGGATAATCTATTTGGGAGTGGTAAATGCTCTGTATCAGCTTACAGAAAACCTGGATGTAATAAGGTCTGTAGAAACAGGTCCAAGAAAGGACAACAAAAAGTGCACACCTCCCATTGATGAAAATCAGTGTAAAGAGGCAGTAATGACTGACAATTACAACAAATTATTGTTGCTGAACAAGGTGGATAAAACAATTGTGGTGTGTGGAAGCCTTTTTAAGGGAATCTGTGCCATCAGAGATCTAAAAGACATTAACAATGTGAAGCATTACGTAGACAGTAGCGGAGAAAAGTCCTTTGTAGCAAGCAACGATGAGAATGTATCAACTGTGGGACTGATCACTTCCTTGAATAACGACCGAGTGCTGTTTGTTGGGAAAGGGAACGGACCAAACGATAACGGGATAATAATCAGCACTCGGCAGCTCTACGAAAGGGATGGGAAAGACATTTTTGAAATGTATACAGACTCGGCAGCTGTTAAGTCAGCCTATCACTCATCGAGCACACAGCAATTTGTGGCTGTCTTTGAGGATAAAAATTACGTTTATTTTATTTTTAATCAGCAAGAGAAACAGCCCGTCAATAACCGCACGCTGATCGCGCGGCTGTGCAAAGACGACGCCCACTATTATTCCTACTTCGAGATGGACTTGGGCTGCAAAGATGACGATGGTGCCTATGACCACTGTCACTCTGCTTACGTCACTACCCCAGGAGAAGAGCTGGCTGAGAGCATGGCTCAGCAGAGACAAACTACAGATGCTCTCTCAGATGACAAAGTTCTCCTCGCACTCTTCAGCAAAGTAAACAAAGACAGCGGCTCTCTCAGATCTGCCATGTGTGTGTTTTCCTTGCGGCACATCAATGAGAAGATGGAAAAAAACCGAAACGATTGCTACACGAAAAAGAATACCAGCTCATTTTACAAACTTTTTGCAGCAGAAAACCCGTGTGCATCACATGGACTGGTAATATCAGTATCAGTTTTAGAATCTGTGTTAGAATGAGTGGAAAATATACAAGTGCATGTTTTGGGGTGGCTCTGAGCCAAACTATAGTGAGATCAGATGACTGAAAACTCAATAGCTGGATTCACTACAGAAATGGAATGTGGCTGGGGGGGGTTGCTGCTCAACAGGTCAGGCAAGAAATGGCAAAGAAAGTAATAATTTTGAGTCTTAGAAAACATCTGATGTCTTCTGAAAGATGAATATTGGTTTCATAAATGCATTTCTTTTAAAGGGTTCCCTCTGGTATGGAAATAACTGAGTCGAATGCGGTGATCTGTTACGCCCCTGATCAGCTTCCAGATGATCACTATAGACAATTCTGGTCTCAGCCAACCTATTTATAATGTTTTTAAATGGTATTAAGAATCTTGTAGGTGAAATCTGGAGTTCTGTGTGGCTTCTCACTTGGATTTGAATTGTCAGATAACTGGAAATGTGCATGTTTCTTACATTCATATGGTGTTCCTATTTTGCTGTGGCTCAAAATACTTCCATGGCATGGTGGCTATCTTCTTTTTATGGCTTGTCATTACCTTGGCTATAAGGTTTTTGGAGGCCACTGTTAAGCCTCTCCAGATACTGGTCTTCCATTCATGACTATGTCTCTGAGAGGCAGTTTTCAGCACCTCTGTTGACTTTCTGAAGTTTTTGCCCAAGCCACCCTGTTTCCAAGCCTTATTTGTGCAGACCATTTGTTACAGCAGCCAACCCTAAACTGGGTTGAGGCATTGAATCATCTTAAAAGTAACTTAGTCAGCTTTTAGGAGGATATTTTAATTGCCCAGCCTGAGCAAGATGCACACTTGCAGAAGCAGCTGTTTGAGCACAGCTTGAGAAGTAGTGTGCTACAAACAAGGGGTAGGAGTGAACAGCTGAAGACATGAGGCACGAGAATATGCCTTATGTTGATATTGAACAATAATTCTTCACCTCATGAAACCACAGCCCTTCCCCACACAGCAGCTCACTAGCACTGATAAGAAGCCAAAAGAGCACTCTTTGCTTCCAAACACTGGTGTTACTCACTGCAATGCCCCCAACACGGGTTGAATGTCAAACAGAAATCCTTAATATTACAAGTGGAGTGGCCATGGCTTCCAGAGAAAAAGGAGGTGTGGATTTCAGAGCAGAAAGACAGTCTTGTTACCAAATATAGCAGGAAAGGCAAGGTGTGAATGAACTTCCTTCTGGTGGCACTCCCTGCAGCTCAGGATTAAAGCGTAGTTAAGAGAGAATGCGTTGAAGTTCACAAAACAGTTGCCAGTAGGTTGCTTTTCTATGGATAACAGCAAACTGAGGAACAGAACAGCATAAAAAAGTCTTCAGCACAAAACTAGTCAACCCAATCTGCATGACATGTTCATTTTAATTAAACAGAGTAGTTACTTTTTAAACTGTGTTGCCTCAGTGAAATAGGAACAAAAAAATGTCTCTCTCCGTGTCTCCTGGAAAATGAAAGCATTGAAGCAGTTTGCAATTAGCAGGCTGTTTTCTGATTGCTGCCCGTTGGCTGGGGGAAAATGGTCAGACAATCCATTTCTCTCTTTCTACTCTTCTATGTCTGAGGGGTATTATACTGTCTGGTAATAAGGTTGCACTTCATTCTTAGCTAGGAATTAGTGATCTGAATGTTTAACATGGCTCTGTATTGCTATTCCTTATTAGAATGCAAGCAAAAATTTCCCCTGTGGCTCTGAACACTTGCCGTACCTTTTGGGAAGTAAGAATGGTGTTGTGGAGAAGCCGGTGCTGCAAAAAGAAGGGATGAATCTCACAGCTGTCACTGTGGCTGTGGAGAATGGGCACACCGTGGCCTTCCTGGGCACGTCGGACGGCAAAATTCTTAAGGTAACCAACTGGACTGAAAAGACTGGAAGGTGTCTGAAAGGTCACAGACTGTAGTGACAGCATACCTCGACTCTAAAAGTAAATGGGATTTATAAGATCACATACCAGGAGGAAATTCTTTTGGAACATGGTATTTTTCATTTCAAAGAAAAACCGCATTATTTCTGATGTACCTCAGCTATCCAAGACACAGATTGAATTAGCATCGCCTGAATGACACTTTTCCCAAGGGATTAGATACCTACTGAGAGCTCTGTATAAACAGCCTTAGGTAATCTAACAGCTGCTCTTGCCTTATCTCTATTCAAGCCCAAACTAACTTAAGAGCGACTTTTCGTTTTGCAATTATTCTGGCCATTTAGTGAATAGAGATGGCAAGACAAAGCCCAGGCTGGAGCTCTGCTAAATTCTGACTGCGTGGTGTGGGGCTCAAGGTTTCACGCGTTTGTGGTGTTAAAGTGTCAAGACTGCAATGCCAGACACCTTCTTTTGCTTGAAGGGGAGTGGTGGCCTTGTGCCACTACGCAGTTTGAAATCTGAAGCTGAAATTGTTGGTTACCACAAGGGGAGACAACAAATTTGAACACCCTTCAATTGCAAAGGCTCTGTGTTGAGAATTTTAATTTTACAGCACTAAAATGAATGACTGTTTACTAAAAAAGGATACAAATATTAGCTGTGGTGAGCAGTGAGCAATTTATTTTCATGAATTTTATGCTTTGCTTGCTGCTTTTGATGCCATGTACTTCACACTGAAATGTTTTTTCTCATGTGAATTTGTAAAGTTGAGTAAACACAGGATTTTCATTACTTATAGAACCATGGAATCATTTAGGTTGGAAAAGACCTTTAAGATCATCAAGTCCAACCGTAAGCCTAACACTGCCAAGTCCACCACTAAACCATGTCCCTGAGCACCACATCTGGGTATCTTTTAAATTCCTCCAGGGATGGTGACTCCACTGCTTCCCTGGGCAGCCTGCTCCAATGCCTGACAACCCTTTTGGTGAAGAAATTTTTCCTAATATCTAACCTAAACCTCCCCTGGTGTAACTTGAGGCCATTTCCTTTCACCCTATCACTTGCTCCTTGGGAAAAGAGACCAACCCTCAACTCACTACAACCTCCTTTCAGGTGGTTGTAGAGAGTGATGAGGTCTCTCCTGAGCCTCCTTTTCTTCAGGCTGAATAGCCCCAGCTCCCTCATCTGGCCCTCATAAGACTTGTGCTCTAGACTCTTTACCAGCTTCATTGCCCTTCTTTGGACATGCTCCAGCACCTTAATGTCCTTCGTATAGTAAGGGGCCCAAAACTGAAAACAGTATTCAAGGTGTGGCATTATCAGTGTTTAGTACAGAGGAACAATCACTTCCCTGGTCCTGCTGTCCATACTATTGCTGATACAAGCCAGGGTGTTATTTGCCTTCTTGGCCACCTGGTCACACTGACGGCTCATATTCAGCTGGGTGTTGACCAACATCCCCAGTTCCTTTTCTGCCAGGCAGCTCTCCAGCCACTCTTCCTCAAGCCTGTAGCATTGCCTGGGGTTGCTGTGACTCAGCTTCAGGACTTGGCATTTGGCCTTGTTGAACCTCATACCTTTAGTCTTGGCCCATCAATCCAGCCTGTCCAAGTCTCTCTGTAAAGCCTTTCTATCCTCAGGCAGAACATCACTCCTGCCCAACTTGGTGTCGTTTGCAAACTTACTGAGAGTGCCCTTGATCCCCTCGTCCAGATCATTGATAAAGATATTAAAGAGAATTGGCACCAATACAAAGCCCTGGGTAGGAGCACCACTTGTGACTGGCCACCAACTGGATTTAACTCCATTCACCACCACGTTTTGGGCCTGGCCACCCAGCCATTTTTTTACCCAGTGAAGAGTATGCCCATCCAAGCCAGGCAGACAGTTTCTTCAGGAGAATGTTGTGGGCAACGGTGTCAAAAGCTTTACTAAAGTCTAGGTAAATGACATCCACAGCCTTTCCCTCATCCATTAAGTGGGTCACCTTGTCATAGAAGGATATCAGGCTTGTCAGGCAGCACTTGCCTTTCATAAACCTATGCTGTCTGAGCCTGATGACCTGGTTGTCCTACACGTGCCATGAAATGGCACTTGAGATGATGTGCTCCATAACCTTCCCTGTCACCAAGGTCAGGCTGACAGGCCTATAGTTCCATGCATCCTCCTTCTGGCCCTTCTTATAGATGGGCATCACACTTGCTAGCCTCCAGTCCACTGGGACCTCACTGGTTAGCCAAGACAGCTGACGAATGATGGAAAGTGGCTTGTGAGCACTTCTGACAGCCCCCTCATTACCCTTGGGTGGAACTCATCCAACCCCATAGACTTGTGTGTTTTAAGAGGTATAGCAGGTGGCTAACCATTTCTGCTTGGATTGGGGGGGCTTCATTCTGGTCCCAGTCCCTGTCTTCCAGCTCGGGGGGCTGGCCACTCAAGAAAATAACTGGTGTTACTATTAAGGAAGTCATTTGGTATCTCAGCTTTTCCTCATCCTTTGTCACTGTGTTTCCCCTTGCCTCTAATAAAGGATGGAGATTCCCATTAGCCTTCCTTTGCTTGCTGATATATTTATAGAAGCATTTTTATTGTCTTTTACAGCAGTAGCCAGATATAATGATAATAACTGGGGGAAAAAAGCAACATTAATCATCTTTGTTTGTTCCATGATACAGGTGTTCCTGTCATCCACTGCAACTGAGTACAGCTCTCTTACTATTGAACTGAACAAACCCATAAAGAGTGACCTAGTCCTCGACCAAACCCAGGAAAATCTGTATGTGATGACCACAGACAAGGTAATGTGTCCTGCTTGTATTAAGGACCAGGTCCATTTTCACTTTCTGTGCAGCTTTACCTGAGATTTCTGCATTTCTCAGTTTTTCCTGGAAGTTGTCCCATTAGGTGGGGCTCCCACTGCTCTGTGTGCATAAAGACCTTTCTCAGGTCTGAGCTGATGGGCTTGATTGTTGTGACTAGGAGCACTGTTACATCCTTGATGATTAGCAAATGGGAATGGGAGGCGAGTTCACCTCTGAAGGTGTCTTTTGGGGTCTGTGAGAAGGATGAAGTTGAGGTGTTTGGTGCCAGCATGTCACAGGGTCAGGCAGCCCTGACCAAGACAGGTCAGACTTTGCTGTGAAAGGCACAGGAAGCCTCTACTAGGTTCCCCTTCTCTGTGCTGGCAGGTGAGACACAGCAGAGGTTTGTAAAGAAAGGAAGGAAAAATGCAAGTAGGAGACCAGAGGGATGCCAGATTCCTCCTTCACCCCCAGTTGTAACGCTTTTCTGACACTGATCTCTGTGGTGGCTGGAGTTTTTTTTGCATGGTGCAGCAGCGCTGCAGGACAGGGCGGGTGACAGGCTGTGACCATCTACAGCACTGACAGTGACACGGAAAGGGACGCAGGAAACACTCCGGCCGAGTAACACAGGGGGATGACCATCTACAGCACTGACAGTGACATGGAAGCAGGAAACACTCCGGCTGAGTAACACAGGGGCAAGGGGACTGTGAAAGGAGAGTATTTGGGGAAAACTGTGAGAAGAATGTTCTTTACCTGTTACACAGAAGGACTAATATAAATTCCTCCTGCAGCAATGTTATATTCTAGCTGAAGGTTTTCAAGAGAGAAGCCACATTGGAAAAAAAATACCAGATATGTGACTGAAAAAGCATTTCATAATGTGACAGTGTATGAGAGAGGGTTTTTTGGGTTTTTTTTTGGTTTGGTTTGGTTTGGTTTTTTCATTAGTTGATACTTCTAATTTGGCTTCTGTTCAGATTTGGAACAGAACTCCAAACATGGTTCACAAAAACTTGGGTGGCCTGTTACCCTATTTGACAAGCTGACATGTTGCTTAAAAGCCCTGCAGTCCCCATCAGGCTACAGTGTGAGCTGCTGAGCACTATAAGTGTCCTTATTGCTCTCTACAACTACCTAAAAGGAGGTTGTAGTGAGGCTGGTATTGGTCTGTTCTCCCAAATTACTGATGATAGGGAAAAGGTTTTGATTTCCAGGGGAGGTTTCAATTGGATATTAGGAAGAATTTCTTCACTGAGAGAGTGGTCAGGCACTGGAACAGGCTAACCCGGGAGGGAGTGGAATCATCATCCCTGGAGGTGTTCAAAAAATGAGTAGATGTAGCACTTGAGGCTATGGTCTAGGGGTTAGGGAAATGTTCGGAGGAAGGTTGGACTTGATCCTGGAAGCCCTTTCCAACCATAGTGATTCTATGATTCTAAGGGATAGCAGCAACCTTGAAGGAAGACAAATTCTCTAGTGGCAGTCTGCTTGAACTGGTAGAATTTAGGAAGGCTATAGACAAATTTTTCAGAGAAAATTTGAAAAAAAAAAAAAATGCCATCTCGACAAAATGCTGAGGTTTAGAAAGCAGCAGATTTCTGCCAAGGAGAGGATTTCAGTTTAATCTTCTCCAAGAAGCTTTCATAGATGCTACATTTCTGAATAATGTGAATAATAGTTTTCTTTTACAAAACCTGTCCAGCTTAAGTATGAATAACTAAAGTTGGGAGCTCTGTAATGGTATTACATTACTGTCATCTCCAGGAGTTAATTAAAAGGAGCAGTCCCACCCACTTTAGAAGCAGACAGACAGGAGGAGAATGGAGGCCTTCAGAGCTGGGAGAAATGAAACGATGTAAGCAAGGGAAGAAGAATAAATGCTGAAACGTGTGCTTCTGGGTGAAGACAGCTGGGAGTTGTGGGAATAGAGATATCAGAACCCTGCCCTGGGAGTTAATATGGTTTAGAGTTCTTTAAAATAAGGTAAACAATGAAGGGCAGGCTGGCTGCGTTGGGAGGCGTGCGTACTGCTAAGCTACCTGGCAGATGCAGCCTGCCTCAGCTCTTGGAAATGAATTGCCTGGGCTCTGTGAACATCTGAGCAAAGTGAAGGTGATGATGTGGTGGGTGATAACTTGAAGCAGCCTTTAAAAAGAAATCAGATTGAGAGGAACACAGGGAAGAATGATACAGAGGTTAAGAGCCAGAGAGAGAGATATAAGCTCTTGCTTTCCTGTTTCACTTCTCCCCCTTCCTCCTCTCAGCTTCTGCTGCTGTGTCAATAGCAGTGGGTGACTTGGAGCCAATGCCTTCAAAAGGCAGGTCCCTCCTTCCTGCTTTGCTCCCAGACCGTGGGCAGAGACCAGGAGAAACCCCTTGCAGCTTCTTGGGGGACTTGGAAAGGAGCATACCACCCCTGACATGCTTGTGCTGGTTTCTTGCAAGTGAACATCACTGGTAGGATCCTAAATTGCTCATGCTACACACCGTACTGGGATGAAAGTAGAAGTCTGAAAGTAGAGGTCACTAGCTTGTTTGCTTGGTTTAGCTTTTACCACTCTCTTTAATTAAGAGTGGCAATTAGAAAATCTCTGAAATTGGTTTCTCTGCATCTTAAAGCCGGCTGTAAACAGAGTCACTTTTTTTCTTTAAATACATTAAGATTACATGAAACTTGCAGAGTCAACAATCTCTAGGCCTTGTTACTGCCTGCCAGAATTATGAAATAAATACTTTGTCATAGAAAAGCCATTCACTGGATATTAAATTGCACTCTGGGTACCAGTTAGTGAAACTGGGTGCCAGTAACTTAGCTCTGGTTAGGTAAGAATCTGTGGAAGAAGAGAGTGCTGAAAAGGTAAACTTCTGTATTAATAAATGCAAGATACCCAGTATTGACAGTTTCCTTAACTGAGTTGGACTGAGCTCCAAATGTGAAAGAAAAGGCCAAAGTCAGACTTCCAGAATAGCTTGTTTTAAATGAGATGGTAAGGTAGAAAAAAAGAAGCTTATATCTCAGAGTTACTGTTGCTGGACTTTTTGTACTCTTTAAAAGTAGAACACAATAGGAAGACACAGGTCCCGTTCTCCTCTTAAATCACTTCAGCAGCATAACTGAAAAGGAGGGTTATGCCCTGGCTCCTTTTTCTGTGCACTGAAAAGAAGACAAAATTGTTTATTCTCAGCCCCAAAGGAAATCAAAACCCGAAGCTGTGTATTTACTGGGGGACTGAGACACGGGAACTGATGCTGCTCTTTTTCCAGCTGCTTCCTGTCACAATTGTTTCCATTTTCTTCTGTGAAGGTATTGCGTGGTGGAAGGTTATGTGTGGAGACGTGCAGTAGCCCAAAGCTCTCAAACACTTGCAGATTTTCTGAAATGCCTTCTGGCTAAAAGCACCACCAATGGTTGCATTTCCAAATGATTTCATCTCTGCGCTAGTGATACGGAGAGGAAGAGGCTCTGTTTAAAAAATGATCTAGCCAGTGCCAAGTTAGATACTTTGAAAGTATCTATCCTGCAGTAGCTGTTTCTGCAGTTCAGAGTTGCTGATACAGTTCTGTCCTTTGATGGCTGCTGTAATGCAGATTTCCAGAAGTAACATAACTGGAAGAATTGAAAAGCCCAATTTTGTTAGGCTTGCTCATGGTTCTTGATTGTAACAATGTTACTTTGAAGAGAGATTAGAGAATACTGGAAGGAAAACAAGCAGGAAAAGGGTGTGAATTGGACTTCTTGGAGGGAATAACCAGACTCTGGTTTTGTATGTATTTTCTTAAAATCAAACCGAGCTCTGATCATAGTGATCCGGGGCCAGGTCTTCTCCTGCCACAGGCAATAGCACTGCACAGCCCTGTCCACAGGCGTCTCCGTCTCCCTGTGCCTCCTTCAGATCCGTCACAGTTTGCCTTCCTTCTGGCTCTGCAGGTGCACCGGCTGCCTGTGCAGGACTGCCACCAGTACTCAGACTGTGAGAAGTGTGCTCAGGCGAGGGACCCGTACTGCGGCTGGTGCGTGAGGGAGGGCAGGTGAGTGCTGCCGGCGCTTGCTCGGGTGCAGGCGGTGGAATAGCTCAAATTTTGGCATGTGCTGTGCCTTCCTGCTCAGCATAGCCACCCCGGCTTTGTGCTCGGCCTTACCTCCTGGTAGTGATTTCATTTTACCACGCAGACATTGATATCTGTCTTCTGTGCACAGAAGTAAGTCCCTACTGACTTCTGCAGGTTTGATTAGTCTGGGAAAATATATACTTTTCTGCTGGTACTGAAAATAAGTATACATCTTCTAACAGCAGGTTTTATCACTTTCTGAGCTGTACGGTCTCCCAGAAATTAAAAAGAGTGCTTCCTATTTAAAATTCTAAACTAAAAGCATATATTTTAAGTAGAGCAGAAAGTGTATACAAGAACATGAAAGAAAAAAAGGTCCACGTCTGAAATAAAGCGTGTAGCTCAAGTGCTGGTTTTATGTAAATGTCACCTATCAGGACATGTAGCAACACCGAACCCTCACCTAACTGTAGGAGAGCAGAAAGTGTCATTTGGCTGACTATCTGCAGAGGTTAACTGAATTAATATTCAAACACATGTAAACTAGGACATCACTTAACAGCTCTTGAACGTCTCTTCTGTACACTCTGGTTTGATTGGAGTGGCAAGAGGGAAGAGCAGAGCGGTCCTGCAGCTCTCTTCTTGACTACTAAGTTAATTAACCCCTTGGCATGAGCGGCTGGGAATTCATGATTCTAAGAACTTGCTGTTGGAACAAAGGGGCTATTTAATTATAGTATGCAGATGAATTTCAGGCTTCTAGCTTCTTGTCTGAACATGTGAACTATCACATTAGGTCACCTGATGTGTAGCATTATATGGAGCACTGCAGAGAAACTTCAGCAGTGCATGCAGGTTTATGTAATATACTGTAACTCTTCCAGCCTGGGCTCTGGTTGCTGTGGATGAAACCTGGGGATATGGAATATACACCTCCAACTCCTCATGGCCTGCTGGGAGTTGAAGGCCATGTCATATATCATACAAAAGGCAATTTTCCCTAGATTTCCCTTCAGGTTTCTGATATGACCATTGACCTCAGTATCTCAAAATATTAATGGTCTCCGAGAACAGGCAGATATGATTTTTTGCATTTGCTAGTATTTATTTCCAATGGGGAGAAAAAAAGTGTTTTATTTCTATTATTTTTCCCGTCTGCAGTAAGTTTTGTCTCACGACCATGCACAGCACTTAGTAGTGTATTTAGGGATGTGTTGTATGAACGTTCACTCTGTATGTAAATGGTATCTTTAAGGGTAGGCTTGACAGAACTGTGCAGCAACTGCACTGTGTTAAAGCCCCTGAGAAATTTATTAATAGTCTTCAGCTGGAGCAACCAGAGATCCTACAGCATTTTCTCCTCAGCTTTGCACAGAATGGAAAGAACACACGAGACTCTCGCACACGAGACACGTGGGTCCACACACACGCTCTTTGCCAAGCTTTTGTAGCCACATACACAGCTTCTGCACTGCAGCATTTCTTCGTTCTGTCCTTCCTGTACTTCAGCTGGGAAAACCTCCCAGTGCTTTTGGTGAGGCTGCACAACTGCTGTTGTCTTCTCACAATAGCAACGGTGCCCTGGCAGAGAGAGGTCTTAAATAGTGGCAGGAGTTAACAAAAGCATTCACCTCAAAACCAACATTTAGTTGCTAGTCTTACAGTCTCACAAGAGCTCTCCACCAGCCTGTGTTCCTCCAGCAATACCTCTCTATTGCAATTTACTCTCATGAGTGGGGTGTCTTATTACTGGCAACACACAGGTGTCTGCTAAGCGACCTGCAGAAAGAACAGGCTGTGACCACTCACTCAGGTCTTAGTTATATATTACAATGAAGATTAATCAGCCTGGTTTCGGATGATCAGGCAATGGCTTCATTGCCTGATAGCTCCTGTGCTAACTAAATATTACTGCCCTTGTATGGATTTGGGTTGTCTAATCCAAGGTAGGGTCCAAAATAGTATGGGCACGTTTCCCTACTTGCCTTTGACATCTCAAACCATCAATTCTTATTCCAGCACTTACTCCATTAAAAATTCTCTAATAGAAACCTAATTAGTCAATATTAAAGCAAACTCCTGGTCATCTTGTGTTGTAATTCCAGACTCTAGTCCTGAAATTGTTGCGTAGTTCAGAGAAAGCAGAGTCCTGCTATAATATTGCTTTGCTTTGGTTTCTGTTCCTGTTTTGTCAGGTGCACAAAGAAGGCAGACTGTGGAGCAGCCGATAAGGAGAACCACTGGCTGTGGAGTCCAAGTGGCACATGCATGACTATCATTAGTGCAGACCCTCTAAATATGAGTCGCAGAGCCCCTGCTAAGGTATGACAAGGAAATGCCTTCCCTACGTGTTCTTAAAGCACATTGATGTGACTACTGAGAAGATGAATAGCTACATTTCTTTATGCAGAGTGGAGACTAGGAATAGGATAATCATTTGGGTATCTCAGTCTCTGGCATTTCTCAAAGTGCTCTTTCTTGCTTACTGTTTTTGCAGGTTGCAGTTCATGTTTTCTTCTCGGAAATGCTCTTTTTGACCTTGTCTGTAAACCAAAATGATACACTAGTATGGATGATTAAGTGCTTACACTTATCTGAATATTATGAAAGTGTTGCACAATGTTGTATAACCCATAAAAAGTAATTTATAGTGGAGATTTCATGCTGCCCTTTCAGCTTACTTGAGCATAAACTTAAGTAAGCAGCAAAGCCATGAGCTGTTGCCTTAAAATCAGCAGTGGATTTGCCTGCACAACAGTTTGTCTGGGTACACAGAGAAGGTAAATTCAGCATGCAAAATGGCTCTGTGGCAACAAAACTGTGTTCATAGAATCATTTTGATTGGAAGAGACCTTTCAAATCATCAAGTCAAACCATAAACTGAGCACTGCCAGGTCACCACTAATCCAGGTCCCTCAGCACCACATCTATACATCTTTTAAGTATCTCCAGGGCTGCTAAGTCCACCACTTGCCTGGCCAGCCTGGGTTCTAGAGTTCCAGTTGTGCTTTACAACACTTTCAGTGAAGAAATTTTTCCTAATATCCAACTTAAACCTCCCCTGGTGAGTGTGACCAGGGAGTCTTAGCTTGCTCTGACTCCTAAAGGAGCACACCAGTGCAGACTGAGGGCTTCCTGGGGCTGCTCAGCAAGTAAAATGGCTTTTAATCCCTCTTAATCAGAAAGGAAGAGGCTATCATTCAAATCCCTTCGATTCCCTTCCTAAATGATAAAAACAACATTGTGTTAAGGCCATTTCTATGTCGACTAAAAATGTTAGCACAGTTAACTAGTCCTACTTAAAATCCACACCTTCTCTTAGTTCAGATCTTGCCAGCTTGTCTCTGATGTCTCATATCAGCATCTGAGGCCAAAATACCTAAAACCCAAAACAAAACCAAACTTCACATGAGCATTTATCTGCTGCCTGTAACATCACAAATGCCACTGTCTCCTCATGAGTCTTTTATTCACCAAAAACTACTGCAGGTCATAACATAGTGGACCAGTTTCAGTGAAAAAGGGACAATTGTCATTTCTACTGACAGTGCAAAATGGAAAAAGTTAAACTATAATTGACACACCTGAAGCATTAAATCAAAGTCAGCATCCAAAATTTCATTTAAAATTTTTCCTATTTCCTTACTAGGTTTTCCCATTTAGTTTCCTTTTAGGTTCTCACATGCATGCTGTATTGATGATTTCCTTGAGGAATTTAAGATCTCACTATCACTCAGAAATCCTTTTTCAGCAGTAATGATGGATCTTGGTCGGTTTCTTGCATATACATCTGAGTCTCAAAGAAGCCACTTTTCTGTTCAGCCTTTTCAAACTCCAGCTTTTCCAGCCCATCCAGTCTTGGCTTCATTATTCAGTAGTAATACCTAAGGTTAATGGAATTTTAATTAAGTTTGTCAGGACTTAAATGTTAACAACTCTGTTTACTGTTGTTAAACTGGTTGCTGAGGACAAGAATAAAAGGATTTGGATGTGTCCAGACATTTTTGTCCTGATCTAGTGCATTGACAGGAAAAGATGGTTTTGCACCAGTGTAATTCAACATAGACCCAGCCTGGAAAAATTGGTAGAGGTATAAGAAGAAAAAAAAAAAAAAAAACTGAAAAGGAGAACTATCTTCTGTGGTACTTCCCAAAATATCACTGCTAGCAAAAAAAAAAAAAAACCAAAAAGAGCAGTTGAAATTCTCTGGCCATAAATCTTACTGGTTCTTGGTTCATTTCTTTTAAGCATTTTACTCTTTCCAAATTTTGTGTTTCAGGTGGAACTGACTGTGAGTCCATTGCCAGCTTTGACTGAGAGTGACCAGGTTTTGTGTACATTTGGTGAAACAACGCATTCGGCTCAGTTAAAAGAAGGGGTTATTATCTGTAATCCACCTGAGATAATTCCTCCAACACCAAAAGGCCAAGGTAAAGGAATATTGCCACCCTCCATGTACAATAAGAGGAAAGAACATAGCCTACTGCTTCTAATGTGATGCTCTTATATGAGCTGCATACATGGTTTTTTTACATCTTCCAGTCCATTTCCCCAAATAGTCTGTTGCTGAACTTTGTCCATTCAAACATTAAAAAAAAAAAGTTTTCTCAAATGATTTCCATTGCTATTTTTATAAGCTGTAACATTCCCAGTATTTCTACTAGGAACCTGAAACAGGAGCTCAGCAGAGCCAGAGAGCTGTTATTCCGTGTCCTAAACAACCAAAACCCAGCTACTCTCATCTTACTCTATTCACTTGGAATTGTGGGACTAGAAGAGATGCATATACACTTCAGATGTGAAGTTTTTAATCTCTGATGTTTTAGTTTTCCTCTAGTCAGCTGTAGTTCAGTGGTTTGTTTTCTGGTCCGTGTCACAAGGCTGTTCTTTCTCTCATTAAGCCTTCTGCCTCTTCTATTATGTGCCCTCCAGCTTCTGCAATAGTAAGTCCAGTGGAAAAAACACGTGATCATATAATTAAAGTATATCATTGCTGTATCATTGTTCTGAACCACAGATTAAATGCTTAAGATCTGTTGCCAATCATAATTCTTGTGCTATTTCCTAGATAGTGCTCTATTCATGCTTTAAGTTCATACATCTTGATAAACACATGGAATAAAACTGGTTACACAGCACTGTTTATTATGTATCAAGGTTAAAAAACAGAAAGGAAAAAAAAAAAAATTAAAACCCAGGTGCTCTTGCAGCTTGCAGAGGTACCCCTTGAGGATAATCCTTTTATATGTATCACAATAGCCATGAACTGTCAGAGTGGTATTTGTAAGCACTTTTTGAGATAAGCTTCAATTCTCTTAAGGCTGAAACAATTCAAAATCCTGTTTTACTTGCAGTAAGAGTAATGATGTTAAAATATCACTTGTAAGTTTTACCCTAGCTGAGGTGTGTCATGGTATCAGACTATGGTAAGTGTTAAAGCAGCACTCCATTACTTAAGGCCAATTCACATTCCATAAATATTTTGTAAAGGCAAACATAAAGCAACTGGGTTGATAAACGTGACATCTTGATGTCTTCCAGCAGAAATTGTGAGACGAAAAGCCTGTCAAAGATGGCATTAGAGTAACCAAGTAACCTAGAAATAATACACCTCACTTAGTTGGTGGCACAAGGATCCATCTGAAAGGATGTTCAGAAGTAATATAAAGATGCTCAGAAGCTTGTCAGACACTTCAGCAGAAGGCAGACAGTTATGAACGCCAGCAGTGGTTCCTGGCAACTGGTGACAAAAAGTCCTGAGCCATCCACTTCCTGTTAAGAAACCCTGCTGAGTTTGGAAAAGTGTGGGTTACTGTAGTTGTGGTTGGTTCCAAAGGCAACAGGACATTTCTGGAGAGGAAGGTTGCTTTTTCGCAGTCCCGTGGTTAGGAAATCCCCTGGCATCCCTACCAAGGTCCAAGAGGACCGAGTGTAGGCAAAGGTGCCTGCCAGGCAACCAGCTGATGGTCTTCCCAGAACCTGTTCAAGGAAAGCAGAGTTTGAAATTGCTCAATAGCTTGTGAAATAACTTGTCACAAGGGCTTAATGATTTCTGCAAAAGGTATTTCAAGCAGCTTCGCTGAGGAAAGCACCAGTTTCTGAAGTGAAATTTTCCACCCTTAGTTCAATAATAATGCAGGCAAGAAGCGTGTTTGTGGAGAAATTGTGTACGGCAGACTGAAGATCACAAGTGCCTGTGGTAACTTAGCATTTCAGGCACTCTTGGGCATTAACCACAAAGATCACTTGCTTTAATTCACATGACAATGGCAGTTTTAATCTACAAATGAAAGAAGTAATTTATATGCAGACATATTCATATTTAAGAAAATGTTTTATTTAAAATCGCTGTTCTCGTGCCAGTTTTCATCTGTGTTCAATTATCTCCTTACTCAGTTTTCCTTGTTCTTCTAGACTTTTTAAAATTCTAGCATGTTAGCACCGCTGAGAAACACCTCCATAAAACAAAGCTATTCTGTCATTTTGTTTCTTCCCTTTATCCCATCTCTGCTTTCCTTTTGACAACCGTGTGCTGAAAATTTTGTAAAGCTTAAAAAGACAAAACAGAGCTTATAGATCTAGAGTATAACAGGTCATGAGTCGCAACAGTAGAGTTAAATATTTGCTTATGTCCTGTAAAATAATAAAAGTATTATCATTGTAGCATTCAGCTCAAAGAGCTAAAGAATTCAGCAACCACTTAGGTATTTTTTTTCTTTTGTCGTAGATCATGTTTCAGTTCCACTTCAGCTGACCTTTGGAACGAACAAGATATTTTTTGCATCACATACTTACCCTTTTTATGACTGTGAAGAAGCAATGAATCTTTTTGAAAATCAGCCGTAAGTATTTCAGCTTCTTAACTTAGGTGTGTAGATCCTGTAGGATGGTGTTTCAGGTAATTGGCAGCTGAGTTACTCAATCATTTCATAATTAAGCTTTTGGCACTCTCAAAATTTACCAGTGTCCAAATCCCTTTTACCTGCATTTTAATGGAGTTTAAAAACAGTTGAAGGGCATCGGGTGAGCCAGTAACATACAGCACATGGAACAAGAATGTTCATGGCACATAGAATTAAAGGCTAGTTCATTGGTTTACCATTTCTGTAGCTGCTAATGTATCTGCAGGTGAGCTCTGTGAACATCTCCTTACCTACGTGTTCCTTCAAATAACATATTGGTGCTTTGGGTTGTGGTGTGTTCAAATAGGGCAATCAAAGCTGATCCTGACCCCATCATTGGCCCTGCCTGAGATGCTGCTACCCCACAGCAGACACAGCCAACCCAACCCACACTTTGTTCATCCTTATGTATGAGGGTTGATCAAGATCATTTCCAGTCCTCTCAGACTCGATCTCAAAGTTTGTGTGAGATGCTGTGGTTTTCTGATCCTTGATCAAATATTTAAGAAGAAAACAGCTTTTTGGGGTTCTTGAACCATTCTTACTATGAACTGTTCAGCTTAATATAGTAAGGACACTATAACAGATTGATCTACCCTCCACATATAAAGATGGAATTTCATTTACTTTTCCTGTCTAAAAAGCCTGACAGTTTGTCATGACTAACATGTTATATTTGTAGGTGCTATTCCTGTGCAAGCAATAGATGGAATTGCCAGTGGGACTGGAAGAGACATATCTGTGAAGAGTCCTCTTCAATACAGGATGTGATTAAACAAAATATGGTAATGTTTAAAAAATGAAAATATTAGGTTTTTATTAGATGCCTCAATATTTTCTTTGCTTTTTCTCTCATATCAGTTGGTTGAATTAGGGATTTAAAAATACGTCAAAAGTTAGCTCCAGAAGTGTAAGTGTTTTTTTTAAGGACTATGCTGGGGTGGGAATTTAAGGGTGTGATTGAGGAGGGGCAGTGAGACTGAATAACTCCTGAAAGGATATTTTTGTTCCTTTTACTATTTTGCTTCAATGGGAGGGACAAGATTTCAAGGCTGGGAAAGATAATCACCCACATCTTTGACATATGCTGCAGTCATTTTTAGCATGTCTAATTTGAAAGGGTGTAATCAAATCTGTCACTGTATTTTAAGCATGAAGTTCTTCAGAACAATCATTTCATTGTCCGAAAGCCATTGGAGCTTGTTCTGATAAGACTTTTTATTTGGAGTAACATATAAAATGTTTCTTCCCCCAGGAAGAAAAATGCCCACAGTTTCTGAACCCTAACCCTCCAATAATACCCATGGAGTACCGAACAACAGTGTATTTCGAGGGAAGACATCTAGATTATTATCAGGTAAGCAGATTAACTCAAAGCTGGCTGTCATCTGAATTCCACTGAAACTGCAGCCACACCCCTAAACTAAAGCATAGTTTGTGTTCCTTGGCGATCCTGCTCATAACTGCTTTTAACAAAGGAAGAGATCTACACAATCAAGTTTGACATAATATAATATCAGTTACCGTGGTAGACTCATCACCAAAACAGAATCAGAGCTGGACAAAATATTTTAACTGCTAGATATGGGTCGCTTGTTTTAAAGAATGTAAGTTGGACCCACTGAAACATTTGATACTCGTTTTTCACCTAATGAAAGGAGAGGTTTGGGAAAGGTGGATGTTTCATATCTTCTTTCTAATTAAATACCTACGCTTCTTTGTTGTTCTAGAATGTCATCACTCAGTGTGCTTAATTCATTTTTCACTTTAGAAATAAAAAGAAATGCATGCACAAATTAAGTGTTTCTTAGTTTGGATAAAAAAATCTTAGTCTTTTTCTTTGTATTTTTTGTGTGTGTGACCATGTATCCAGAAAGTAAATTACAAAACTTCTAAGAAGCCAGCTTTTGACCCCAACCTTTTAATTGTTTTATAACCTAGACAGTGCATCTTTTTTACATTTAATAAAAACAAAGCTTAAGAACCACTTCTTTAAGTGATAGCTCAAGTATTGTTCCTAGTTCCTATTGTTTGTTTCTGGGTTGTCTTTGTGTAAATCGATGATAGATATGCTGGAGATTGCATCAACGGCTTTAACTACCAGACATCTATCAAGGGAAGGAAAGCTCTTGGGTTTTGAGGTGGTTTTTTTCCTTTGCCAAACTGAAGCTTACAAAGTCCTTCTGTCACCTCTGCAATGCCTGTCAAGGGATGGAAATGAATAAATAGGTCTGGAGAGTAGCACTGTAAGAAGGATATTCAGAGAAGGGTAGAAAGCAACGCACAGCCACTACAATCATATGAAGACCATGCTGTGCTTCACTACACTACACATATATCAAGACTGTGCTATACAAACTTATGTTCAAAAATAAACATTTTTGCTTGAAGACCTTAAAATACATGTAAACAAAGGAATTTAGTCTGTTTCCTGAGATGTAGGTAGGATCCCCGGTAGGATGTATGGCTGTGTGCAAGATGTGGCACACAATGCTTGTCTTAAAGGCCACATCGCTCTTTGCTAAAAGTAGAAAAGTATTCCAGGAAATTTACATTTCTTTTGTTTAACATTGTGAAGAGATGTTTTTCTGCCTGAGAGGAAAATCTTTCCCTCCTCCCTTGATATAAGAGGAAGAGCTCATTCTTTCTTGAGAGTAAATTCAGGGTAGAAGCATAATCCAGATACGTTGAATTTGATTTCTAGAGGAACCTTTTCCTCCAAGAATAAACACCAGAAGGAACCCAAAACCATATTCCTCTAGTTTATCATTCTGTGAATAAGCACTTTAATCTTTCTGAACTGCTAGTAGAGAAAAGGGAATGAAAAACCTGCCATTTAGGGGTTTTGATGTTTTGTTGTTTTTTGGGGGTTTTTTCTCTATGAGGTGTCTATTACATTTAACAAAGGCAGAGACACATCTTATGGGTTTAATGCTGTGTCATGGGTAGCAATGTTAAATAGCTTGCCTACAGACCAGACCTGGTACGTATTTATTTAACTTGGAACTGGGAAGGATTCTGTGAATTCAAGTAAGAAGGTGATGCATAGGCCCCAGGCTGGAAAGATGTCTGAGAACAAGTGTCAAATTGTGTCAGAATATTTTTTCTTAGATGAGAGCCATGTGGGAACATCACCTCTGTCATGGGAGCAGCTCCATATATCCTGGTACAGAGGTGCATTTTTAAGCCAAAATAATAATGCCTTTAGTGCTGGGATTTGAATAGGCACACACTGTGACTCCAGCTATATACACAGACCTCTAAGTATGTAAGAAAGCAGACAAATAAGGCATGAAATAGTTGTAATTGCACAGGCACTCATGCCTGTGGGATCAGACTGAAGCAATAGCTTTGGTTGCGGAAAGTTCATTTGAGTAAGGACATAACTTACACTCAGGCTTTGGTAAACATCTCATGGAGGACAAGGTGACTCAGGAGAAACCATGGATGGATATTTTGTAGAGCTTGGCCTGCAGCCCAAATGCAGCATAGCATGTAGCTTCTCATGTGGAACGATTTTGCCTGGATATCCTGTGCATGAAGGTGTGTTTGGAGCTAGCAGTCATGCAGCTGTGAGCCTATTTAAGGTCTTTATTGATCAGGACATTGGCATATATCCATTTTCCCTCTACTTTCCTTGCCTAAATTCTTGCTTAGAAAAAGCAAAAATTAATGTTCTGTTGTCACTTTGAACTCCTAGCTCTATTATCTTGTTTTAATCTGTGCACAACCTGCCTTACAGGCTACTAAGTACACTAGGCAACACTGTGGATATAAGCATCTCTGTTTCTAGGTGGATATTAGCAGTGAAGATTTGGGCTGACTGAAAGAGTAGGAAAGGCTTCTAAAACTGGTATCGCAGAACTGAGACTGGAAGAATAAGCTCACACATTTTGTCTGCACCTCTTAACTGGTGAACACTTACAGTACAGTGAATAAATTTCCTTGTGAGGGCTTCAGCTGGAGGAAAATGGACTAAAAGAGGAGAAGCTGTTGACTGTTTTTCTTCCCATCCTTCCTCTGAAAGGATTACAATAGGAAGGAGAAGAAAATCCAAGGTGTTGTCATCCTCTTGAGAACAGCCTTATCCAGTACAAGAGGCTGAGAGGAAAGTTTAGTACTGATCAGTCATATTGCATAAAACGTCTGAGAGACATTTTCCATCTGAGTCCTTGAAAGATTGGCATGGTAGAAGAGACAGATGTACCAGCATCAAGATAACCTTATTAGCCCGCCAAATATTTTCACTAAAAGTGATTTCCCATTTGGATTTGTCTTTGTGATGTTTGTTGGATGTGTAACCCACTTCCTAGTGTTTGCTACATGTCTCTTCTTGCACCCGGACTGCTGAATGTGAGCCCTGTGGCCTTCTGCTTAAGAGCCTGGTATAGCATCTCCTGATATCAGTCCACTCCAGGTAGCAGCTCTCACACACATGGAAGCTCCCCTCCTCTCCAAGCACCTTCTGTTAAGTGTGTGGGAAAGCTTGATGCTGCAGCAGCAGAATTTGAGCACTTGTGGAAAATACATGATATATTGAAATTTGTGGCGTGGAGAAAGTGGGGCAGCATTCCTCAAAAAAGGAGATTTGTAAGGCACTTTGAAACGTGGGATATGTAGACATTTTCTGTAAAGCAGAATCATTCTGTGGTCCTGTAAAGGTGAAAGGGGTCTCGTCCCCCAATGGGTTCTGATTTCCTAAGTCTTTACCAACAAGGCTATCTGAAAATATCCTTGCTACATATTTCTTCCTCTGGTTCTTCTGTCAGAGCTGTCCACGCAGCTGTTCTGTGGGCCAGAGCAGGAGAATGACCCAGCACAGAAACAGTGTCATAGGCTGATGTGCTTCAGTTTTTGTCAGCTCAGTTGCTCGATGGAATCACAGAGCAGCCAAGCTGAGAGTTTTGCCAGTACAGCACAGGTCGGTATGTGCTGCAGCCTAAAGGAAGGAAGGGATGGATTTAGGGCCTAGGGAGAAGAGAGGGGAGGAAGGTCTCTAATAGACAGGAATACCCACAGTGAAAGATTGTCCTGTGAAAACACAGCTGGAGTCATGGTGGCACAGGAAGAAAAAAAGCTAGAAGGATCTGAGAGATGATGATTCCAGTCTCCCGTGCAATTCTTGCATTCCTCCTCAGCCCAGGCTCCCTACAGAGAAAACCTTGAAGGGCAGAAGACACTCAGCTCTGTTAGTAGCACATCTGATGTGTGAAGCCATCCAGTATTCACAACTATTGTTTTTTTCTTATTGCTCCCTAAACCAGAGTGTTAGATATGTCTGTGCTTTATTTGTACTGCTTGATGCTGCCACCTTTAAGGAGCTGGAGAGGTGCAGCAAAGTAGCAGATTGTGCTGGCTCAGTGTTTTGCTAGCTTTGTTTTAGAAGATCACTTTAGCTTCTCAGCCTTCTCCATTTGGTCTTATTACTTCCAGTGCTGAACATGAGATTGCCCAGTGGTATTTTATGCTGCTTAGTAATGCTATACAAATTCTAAGATGAACTTTTCTCTTCCATAGAATAAAAAATTTGTGGTTGGAAATAGTCAATTTGAATTCGAAGCTCCTGTTGATCAATCAGACGAAGGAAAATATTCATTCATGAGTAAAGAGGTAAATACAAAAATTTGATTTTCTTACCAAATATATTCAGTTCTTATAGTCCTGTTCCAGCGTCCACATGTGTCCAGAAATATACAGGTAATATTGGTTTCCCTCAGAGATAAAAGTCACCTCTGATGGAGATTCTCCTTTGGCAGTAGCAGTCAAAGGCAGCAGCTTTGGCTCAGAGCTCCTGGGGTCTCCCGTCAAAGCCCTAGATCTTCCTCCTTGATTTCTCTGTCTGTGCAATCTGTGGATTCATTGAACTGTCTGTGGAGGAACTGGAACCATTACTCTTTTATTCTTCACTTTTTATGCATTCTGGTGAAAACATTGAGGATAAAAGGTGAGAATTTCAGAGGTCTCCCTCTCCACACTCCAGTTCATTATCTTTCCCATTTTACATCTGTAAAAATGGGAATAGTAACAGTATGTTGTTGTTTGGCTATTTAGTAGCTATGCTTCTTTCACTCTGGTTTATTTTACAGAGAAAAGAAATAATATTTTTTTTAAATTAGTCTATTTACCAAGCTTAAAAGTTAAACTCACAAATGTTATGCTAACTGTAACCTTTATGTCTTAGAAGCTTACTAACACAGTAGTTTGAGAACTAATTAGCATTTATACAGCACTTGAGCCTCGCACAAAGCATTTGCTTTATAAAGCAAATTTATTTTTCTTTGCTCTTTTTTCTTCCCACTGGTTGTTATTGCTGCTGTCTTTCAAAGTGAGCAGAAGCTCATGTCTTGGAGCATGTGAACCTTTTGCTTTGGCTATAACGAGGGGGCTGCACTGCAAAGGATGCAAGAGATTTCCCCTCCATGTGGTGCGAGTCTGCCGTGTCCACAGAAGTAATGGGGCCAGATGGTGTGGGAAGGGAGAACTCAGCAGGGTCAGCAGCTATACTCACTGAATCTGAACAGTACCTTTGCTACTTGGATAATTATAACCAAACGTAAATTAAATTAATGAAAAGCGAGTATTCAGATATCGCTGTCCCTTGGTACTTGAAAATTCTGATTGTGAGGGATTAGGTTCATTAAAACATTCTTCTATAAATGTACTTGGCTAAGATGAAAAAGTAACCATAAGCTTTGGGATAGTTTCTAAAACCTTCACAGCTCTGAATATTGAGAGTCATAGAAAATGCATGAATATAGGCTTGCCAAATGAAGGTATAAATATCTCTGTTGTGTCATCTTTTCCAGTTCTCCTATAGTGCAAATGAGACCCTACGACTTAACTTATCCATAAGAACAGATAAGGTCAAGATTGACAGCAAACTGATGGGTGAGTGTGAAATATGAGATTAAAGAGATGTTAATTACAGTAAACAGAAATCTTTTCTTTCATAATTTGGAGTTATGTGGATACGAATGTTACCTTTGTAGGTTTTACTGTTCTGGGTGAAACAAATCTGGCAGATCAGAAGTTATTAATACTAAATGCATGAGCTAAACATCAGTGTTGTATATATTAAAAGCTGTTTTAAATATGCTACCATTATTTTGCTACCATTATATGAGATCAGCCTCACCTCTGTGTCTGGGAAGATGATGAAACAGATCCTCCTAGAAGCTGTGCTAAGGCACATGGAGGACAGGGAAGTGGTTCAAGAAAGGCAGTATGTCTTCTCCAAGGGCAAGTCCTGCCTGAGATGCCTGACAAGTTAGTGGCCTTCTATGATGGAGTGACTACATCAGTGGACAAAAGAGCTACATATGTCATCTGTCTGTCTGAACTTCTGTAAGGCCTTTGACGTGGTCCGGTCCCCCACAGCATCCTTCTCTCTAACTTGGAGAGCTATTGATTTGATGGATGGACTGCTAGGTGGATGAGGAATTGGTTGGATTATCACATCCAGAGGGTAGTGCTCAACAGGTCAGTGTCCAGACAGAGATTTGTGCCAAGTGGTGTACCTCAGCAGTCCGTACTGGCATCAGGGCTGTCTATTATATTCATCAATGATATAGACTGTGGAATCAAGTGCACCCTCAGTAAGTCTGCAGATGACACCAAACTTGAGTGGTGCAGTTGACTCACCAGAGGTGTGGGATGCCATCCAGAACGACCTGGACAAGCTTGAGAAGTGGGCCTGTGTGAGACCCTCATGAAGTTCAACAAGGCCAAGTGCAAGGTCCTGCGCCTGGGTCAGAGCAACCCCCAATATCAATGCAGGCTGGGAGGTGAATGGTTTGAGAGCAGCCCTGCAGAGAAGAACTTAGGGCTACTGGTGGATGAGAAGCTGGACATGAGCTGGCAATGTGTGTTCACAGCCCAGAAAGCCAACCATATCCTGGACTGCATCAAAAGAACTGTGACCTCCAGGTCAGAAGAGATGATTCTGCCCCTCTACTCCATGCTGGTGAGACTCTAGCTGGTGTACTGTGTTCAACTCTGGAGTCCTCAGTACAGGGAAGAGAGATGGTAAATGCCCCATCCCTCACAACATTCAAGGTTTGGCTGAACGGGGCTCTGAGCAACCTGATCTAGCTGAAGATGTCCCTGCTCACTGCTGGAAGGTTGGACTAGATGACCTTTAAAGGTCCCTTCTAACCCAAAGTATTCTATGAGTCTGTGATTCATTCTATGATTCTATGATTTTTCCATCTGTACAATATTTAAGTTTATTCCCTTTCTTATTGGCAGGAAAAAAAAGTATGCTTTTAGAATATTTTCCCTATGGCTCTCTGTGCAGTGTTGAAAGCACTTAAAAGAGGACCTGGCATGAATGTTGCAAAGAGGTCATATTACAATCTCACACTGTCTTAATTTACATTCCAAAGGCTGTGGTGTTTAAAACTGCAGAATTTTGACCAAATATTCCCAACATCTTTTTTCCAAATCAGGGGGAAATCTTGAAAAGAAGTGGCTAAATTATTAAAGAAATTTTGTCATTCAAATTGAAATATAGAACCTTTGCAAGAGAGGAGTTTAAAAAATATTAACAAATGTCTCTTTTTATTATAAAAGGGATTTTTCTAATTCAAATTCTCTCCTGCTTTTAAATTTCCTTGCCCTGTGAAATCTAGGTTTTTATGCATCTTGAAAAGAATTGACTTTGGGTATATGGTTGCTGCTGAGAAGCACCTTTGAACCTGCCAGTGAAAGAACCCATTCTTTGTCTAACACTTAGCGAATACTAAGTCACGACAGCGTTTGTACATCTCAAGCCATCAGGGGTTCTGAACAGTATGACATCCAATATATCCCTTTTATCCTTTGTCCTTTTTATCAATGATTTCACAGCTGGTATCTCAAGGTGATGGATAAGAGTCTGACTCTAATGAGTGGCTTGCTGCTGGTACATTTAATGAGCTGATGGGTGCATGGGGGGAGTGTTTAAGGCTTCCAGGCCGCAGCTTTCCCCGTTGCATTTACGCAGCTGGCTGTGAGGCACGTCAAGGCGTCGCAGTGCTGGCATTATTTACTGAGGGGTACACTGTAAATCTCTGTCCAGCTGATGAAGGATAACTCATTCAGTGAGTGTATTCCCCAGCCGTACCCAGTGGCCACGTGGCAGCACGGGCGGGAAGGGCGGGGTTAGGAAGGCAGCAGGTTTAGGTTTAACAGCAACCTGCTCGAGTCCCTGTGCGCTCGCAGCCTGTTAGAGGGCTGGATTAAGAAAGCAATCTGGTTCCTGCAAAAGCAGTTCACAGCATAGACACGAGGAAACTTTTCCTTGCTGCCACCTGCACCACCTCTTCTGCTTACAAAAGCAACTAGGGCTGTCAGTCTGGTACTTTTTCCCAGCACTATGTTCACATCCAACATGCAGAGTGAACAGTTAATACAACCTGTTGACAATATTGCTTGGGTTACGTTTGTTGCTTAGTGACTTCTGTATTGATGTGCTCGGTATATGAAGCAAATGATGCTACTTCTGCTTTGTGCTCATTGATTCCTTGAGAATTCAAGATAGGGGTTTGTATCAAATGATGCTCTTTCTCATTGATTCATTGTTACAAATGCCACAGTCCCTCAGCTTTGCATACACCTCCAGTGATGTTCTCCAATGTGCTTGGTCAAGCTACTTGAAATCAAGTGGATATGCTCATTAGATGTAAGAAGAGTTAAAACCAGACTTTATCACTGCATTAATAGAGTAAAAATGTTATTCTGCTAAAGTCTGGTTATGAAACTGAATGCTGAGGGTTTTAAATATGCAGCATTTAGAGGAGAGCAGGCCTTACAAGGTTATGTGCTCTCACATAAGTGGCAGAGAGACTGTACCCAAGTTTCGGGCACCTGTAAAATTGTTCATGCCTAGCAGGGGAATAAGGGCAGTGCTGAAAAATAATGGAAAACCAGCATTCTCATTTTACTTTTTCATTCCAGTAGACATCTGACATGGCAGCCTCTTGGAATTAGATTTTAAAAGCTACTGCTGCAGCTGCTGCTTTTATCTAGGAAGTTATCAAGTGCATTAAAATGCAAGTGACTGGAGAGTAGTTTTGCCAGTGTCCTTCCTGGAGTCCTCTTTTATTCTCTTTTGAGAATAAAAGGTTTCTTTAAATAGACATTTTTTATGGCCTTTACCACATGCCATCCTAGTCTCTCTTGCTCACATCTGATCACCTCTGTTTACTTCCCTGTGCTTCCTACATCTTTAAGGATGGTTCCTTAGGTCACCAAGGGTACTGTTTCTTGAGACTTAATGAGCATATAAAACAGCTCATCACTGCTGGAAAGGGAAGATGTTAAGTCTTTGTCTTGTACTTCCCACTCCCATCTGTGAGTACATTATTTAACTCTTGAAAGAGCACAGGAGGAAATCTGGATAGTCTTCTGCTGTTCTGGTAAGTAAGTTGATTTACAAGAAGACTCAACAAGTGCCAGAGCCCATGGCAGAGGGTGAGAGGCCATGTGGCCAGGAAAAAAAAAAAAAAAAAAAAAAAAAACAAGCAAAAAGAAAAG